TCAGGACAGCAGAACAGCCTCCAGGACAGCTCTTCTGTTTATCTCCCCACTTCTCCACCTTTGTTCCATACTCCATCCCTTCCCCCCAGCTCCCGACTATCAGGACCAGGACAGCAGGACAGATCTTCTGTTTATCTCCCCACTTCTCCACCTTTGTTCCATACTCCATCCCTTCCCCCCAACCCCCGACTATCAGGACCAGGGCAGCAGAACAGCTCTTCTGTTTATCTCCCAATTTCAAATTTTTTAGCAAATATTTTAATAATGATGTTGAAGGTGATGATAACGTTGTACTTTCTATATCTGAACTCAAAGAGTTGTCGAACCTGGATAACAATGATTTTTTAAACGCACCTGTATCGTCAGCTGAAATTTTGAAATGTGTCAACAGGTTGAAACCTAATAAGGCTGTAGGCGAAGACATAGTTTTAATGAATATATCAAATCAACAGTACACATTTTTATTCCTATATATTTAAAAGTTTTTAATTATATATTTGATACTGGTAATGTACCAGATTCATGGCTGGCGGGTAATACAATTCCTGTGTATAGAGATAAGTGTGATAAGTACAAGTCTATAAATCATAGGCCAATCACACTTATTAGTTGTTTATGCAAATTATTCACTGCTATAATTAATGAACGTCTTAATAAATATGTTGACAGTATCCAACTTATTCTTGAAAATCAAGCTGGATTTCGAGGACAACATTCTACCATTGATCATATATTTTCACTGTATGCTTTAATTGAACTCTCAAAAAAAAATTAAAAAATCGTGTGTACTGTGCTTTTGTAGACTTCGAAAAGGCGTTCGACAGTGTCTGGAGAATAGGTCTATGGAACAAATTAATTAATAGTGATATAGGTGGGAAAAAATGTTTTAACGTAATAACTAGTGTGTAATAATTATACACAGCAATGAAACCTTAAGGTATATTGAAAAGACAAAAGTAATGGGAATTTTTGGTAGAGGGAGAGTGTCGAATGATGTACAGTTCACCTATAATAGGAATCATATAGAGATAGTGAAAATTTTCAAATATTTCAATTTCAATTACTGGCAGGTGTCGTCAATGTAGCTGATGACGATTATTCTTCCGGAACACGTGGTTTTATTATCTTTGTACTTTCAGGAGTCTGCTATAAATCTTTCTTTTGTTCATATTTTGCCCTAGTGTTATTGAATTTTAGTTTGGGTTATGATTATGTTGACATGTTAGTATTTTCTTTGTTTTTTATTTTTAAGTCATCTTTTCCTTGAGATCCCCTTTCGGTAATGTCCGTGGGTACATATTCTATTTTGGATACTGAAATAGAGAACAGTGTACGTTAACAGATCAGAGTTATTTCCCTTTGTTCGGTTCGCGACTGACACTCGTCAGAAACGTACAAGCCAATGAATTCCCATCTTCTGTTTGTGGCACTGATTGGGCCACATCTCTATTAACACTTTTCTTGTAAACAGAAAACAACGTATATACTGAAGACATTGCTGACAAAAAAGTATGTATTTATCATCGTATCATTAACGAGACAGTCCCTAGGAATTATGTTTAGACTGACTCAGTTAACGCCAGTCACGTGTGATAAGACAGTTCCTATAAGCGAACATCCAACCGTAGAAAAGTAGAGGAAAACTTGATAGTCTAGCCCAATCGATAAAACTGTTAAAACTAATGGAATGACAGTAACAGTCGACATTATCGGAAATCAAGAATTGGATTCATGAAAATCATGAAAATTCATAATGAACAAAACAAAGGCTTAATAACAAATGTGACTATTATACTCGATGTGATTAAAAAGGAAATTGTGCGAACGATATCACCTTAAGGAGTTATTGATGATGTGACGTTAATGTCATCTGTCGTATTTGTATATTGAAAAGTATTAGCCTATTCCTTCCGGTGTTATAGTCTGTAACACATCTTCTACATGCGCGACAGTTTTAGTGGGTAAAAATGTTACAATGCATGTATCTCTACCGTGTTGACCTAACAAACACCATTATGTTTCGAAGAAAAAATCCTTTTTATCGCTAAGCATCACTGACGCGTCCTAGGAGGACGAAACAGCTCTCTGATGTAGCATTACTGACGATTCCTAGAAGGACGAAACAGCTGCATGATGCAGCATCACAGACGAGTCCTAGAAGGACGAAACAGCTGTATGATGTAACATCACTGACAAGTCCTAGAAGGATGAAACAGCTGCATGATGTAACATCACTGACGAGTCCTAGAAGGATGAAACAGCTGTATGCTGTAGCATCACTGACGATTCCTGAAATGAAACAACAAATGAAACCTTTTTACACAATACATGTATAACAGACACTGTGTCTAGCTGAGAACATGCCAATCTAACAGAAGGTATTCGGATGGGATCTACCTCTTAAAGAAGTTTAATGAAACAATGATCATGAAAAATCCATCTCCTCCTATATTCATGTGTATAGCATTTAAGTAACATTAATTGACTTCGCCTAAATGAAAAATTAGAAGAAAGAAGTGACTGTACTGTACTTAATATTATTCATTACTCTATGGCATATGTATTATACAATATGTATATAATGAAAACAGACAGATTTGATAAATGAAGAAATGAAAGTATACTTATGAAATTAAAAATATGTTCAAATAATATAAGATGCAGTTTTCAACCTAGAGCGAGAGGGTGGGATAAATAGAGAGAGAGAAAGAAAGAGAGTGAGAGAGGGGGAGGGGAGAGAGAGAGAGGAGGGGAGAGAGAGAGAGAACCTGTGATTAAAGTTTAAATACCATACCTCAACTTGTCTTAATTAAAACATATGTCTTGTCTTGTCCTCGCTACCTGCATTAGACTTCGATTTTTGCTTTCAAATGTTTAAAATATTCCCTCTTCAACGGCATCTAATTTAATCATTTTGGTTGTGGTATGGAGGAACACTCATGGCAAGCAAAGAAAACCATGCCAGCAGAGGTCAATATGTGTTTCTTATTAAACTGTCATCTTAAACTTATAATTCTATCCAGGTTTGCACTATTTCCAATAGACAATAACCAAAAAATGTTCAAAAATGTGATTTTCCTGTATAAAATATAGTAAAATTTCCCCCTCCCCACGGGGAAATGTATGACTGCGGGATTATGAAATTCACAATTTTGGTAAAGCATCTGAAGGCCTCTCCATCCATGAAGAGTACCTGATTATGTGTTAATATGATTGAATCAGGGCTATGAGAAAACAAATTGGGAGACAAAAATTAATTAGTAAGAAAAGTGTAATGATTCACTTTACCATGGTCGACGTCTCGATATCCAACAGTTCATAATCTTACGTCTGGATATCAAACAGTTCCTAATCCGACGTCTCGATATCCAACAGTTCCTAATCGGACATCTGGATACCCAACAGTTCCTAATCTTACGTCTGGATATCCATTAGTTCCTAATCCGACATCTCGATATTCAACAGTTCCTCATCGGACGTCTCGATATCCAACAGTTCCTAATCCGACGTCTCGATATCCAACAGTTCCTAATCTTACGTCTGGATATCTATTAGTTCCTAATCCGACATCTCGATATCCAATAGTTCCTAATTTTACGTCTGGATATCCATTAGTTCCTAATCCGACGTCTGGATATCAAACAGTTCCTCATCGGACGTCTCGATATCCAAGAGTTCCTACTCTTACTACTCGATATCCAACACTTCCTAATCCGACATCTTGATATCCAACATTTCCTTATCAGACGTCTCGATATCCAACAGTTCCTAATCTAACGTCTTGATATTCAAGATTTCCTAATCCGACGTCTGGATATGTAACAGTACCTAATCTTACGTCTGGATACCCAACAGTTCCTAATCTTACGTCTGGATATTCTATAGTTAATAATCCGCCATCTGGATATCCAACAGTTCCTAATCCGCCGTCTCGATATCCAACGGTTCCTAATCTTACGTCTGGATACAAAACAGTTCCTAATCTTACGTCTGGACACCCAATACTTCCTTATCCGCCGTCTAGATATGCAATAGTTCCTTATCCGCCGTCTGGATATCCAACACTTCCTAATCCGACGTCTTGATATCCAACAGTTCCTAATCTTACGTCTGGATATCCAACAGTTCCTAATCCGACGTCTCGATATCCAACAGTTCCTAATCGGACGTCTCGATATCCAACAGTTCCTAATCCGACGTCTCGATATCCAACAGTTCCTAATCGGACGTCTCGATATCCAACAGTTCCTAATCTTACGTCTGGATATCCAACAGTTCCTTATCAGACGTCTGGATATCCAACAGTTCCTAATGTTACGTCTGGATATCCAACAACTCCTGATCTGATGTCTGGATATCCAATAGTTCCTTATCCGCCGTCTGGATATCCAACAGTTCCTAATTTTACGTTTGGATATCCAATAGTTCCTTATCCGCCGTCTGGATATCCAACAGTTCCTAATTTTACGTCTCGGTATCCAACTGTTTCTTATCAGACGCCTCGATATCGAACAGTTCCTAATCGGACGTCGTGACATGCAAGATTTCCTAATCTTACTTCTGGATATCCAACAGTTCCTAATCCGACATCTCGATATCCAACACTTCCTAATCTGACGTCTCGATATCCAACAGTTCCTAATCTAACGTCTTGAGTTCCAATATTTCCTAATCCGACGTCTGGATATGCAACAGTACCTAATCTTACGTCTGCATATATCCAGCAGTTCCTAATCAGACGTCGTGATATCCAACAGTTCCTAATCAGACGTCGTGATATCCAACAGTTCCTAATCCGACGTCTCGATATCCAACAGTTCCTAATCTAACGTCTTGATATCCAAGATTTCCTAATCTGACGTCTCGATATGCAACAGTACCTCATCCGACGTCTCGATATCCAACAGTTCCTAATCGGACGTCTTGATATCCAACATTTCCTTATCAGACGTCTCGATATCCAACAGTTCCTAATCTAACGTCTTGATATCCAAGATTTCCTAATCTGACGTCTCGATATGCAACAGTTCCTCATCCGACGTCTGGATATCCAACAGTTCCTCATCCGACGTCTGGATATCCAACACTTCCTCATCCGACGTCTGGATATCCAACAGTTCCTCATCCGACGTCTGGATATCCAACAGTTCCTCATCCGACGTCTGGATATCCAACATTTCCTTATCAGACGTCTGGATATCCAACAGTTCCTCATCCGACGTCTGGATATCCAACAGTTCCTCATCCGACGTCTGGATATCCAACACTTCCTCATCCGACGTCTGGATATCCAACAGTTCCTCATCCGACGTTTGGATATCCAACAGTTCCTCATCCGACGTCTGGATATCCAACAGTTCCTCATCCGACGTTTGGATATCCAACAGTTCCTCATCCGACGTCTGGATATCCAACATTTCCTTATCAGACGTCTGGATATCCAACAGTTCCTCATCCGACGTCTGGATATCCAACACTTCCTCATCCGACGTCTGGATATCCAACAGTTCCTCATCCGACGTCTGGATATCCAACAGTTCCTCATCCGACGTCTGGATATCCAACACTTCCTCATCCGACGTCTGGATATCCAACAGTTCCTCATCCGACGTCTGGATATCCAACACTTCCACATCCGACGTCTGGATATCCAACAGTTCCTCATCCGACGTCTGGATATCCAACAGTTCCTCATCCGACGTCTGGATATCCAACACTTCCTCATCCGACGTCTGGATATCCAACAGTTCCTCATCCGACGTTTGGATATCCAACAGTTCCTCATCCGACGTCTGGATATCCAACATTTCCTTATCAGACGTCTGGATATCCAACAGTTCCTCATCCGACGTCTGGATATCCAACACTTCCTCATCCGACGTCTGGATATCCAACAGTTCCTCATCCGACGTTTGGATATCCAACAGTTCCTCATCCGACGTCTGGATATCCAACATTTCCTTATCAGACGTCTGGATATCCAACAGTTCCTCTGTGGATATCCAACAGTTCCTATCCGGTCTGGATATCCAACACTTCCTATCCGACGTTTGGATATCCAACAGTTCCTCATCCGACGTCTGGATATCCAACAGTTCCTCATCCGACGTTTGGATATCCAACAGTTCCTCATCCGACGTCTGGATATCCAACACTTCCTAATCTTATTTCTCGATATCCAACACTTCCTAATCGGTATTGATGCCCCTGTGGTACATTGTATTGGTGCTCAGGTCACTGTGGTACATTGTATTGGTGATGATGCCCCTGTAGTATATTGTATTAGAGCTCAGGCCACTGTTGTACATTGTATTGGTGCCCAGGTCCCAGTGGTACATTGTAATGCTGCCCCGGTGGTACATTGTATCGATGCTCAGACCACTGTGTTACATTGTATTGGTGCTGAGGCCCCGTGGTACATTGTATCGATGCTCAGACCACTGTGTTACATTGTATTGGTGCTGAGGCCCCGGTGGTACATTGTATCGATGCTCAGACCAATGTGTTACATTGTATTGGTGCTGAGGCCCCGTGGTACATTGTATCGATGCTCAGACCACTGTGGTACATTGTATTGGTGCCTATGTCCCTGTGCATTGTATTGGTGCTGAGGCCCCTGTGGTACATTGTATTGGTGCTGAGGCCCCGGTGGTACATTGTATCGATGCTCAGACCACTGTGTTACATTGTATTGGTGCTGAGGCCCCGGTGGTACATTGTATCGATGCTCAGACCACTGTGTTACATTGTATTGGTGCTGAGGCCCCGGTGGTACATTGTATCGATGCTCAGACCACTGTATTACATTGTATTGGTGCTGAGGCCTCGGTGGTACATTGTATCGATGCTCAGGTCACTGTGGTACATTGTATTGGTGCTGATGTCCCTGTGGTACATTGTATCGATGCTCAGACCACTGTGTTACATTTTATTGGTGCTGAGGCCCCGTGGTACAATTTATTGGAGCTAAGAACCTGTGGTACATTGTATTGGTGCTGATGTCCCTGTGGTACATTGTATTGGTGCTGATGTCCCTGTGTTACATTGTATTGTTGCTGACGCCCTTGAGGTACATTATATTGGTTCTGATGCCCCTGTTATACATTGTTTTGGTTCTGATGCCCCTGTTATACATTTTTGTTGGTGCTGATGCCCCGGTGGTACATTGTATTGGTGCTGATGCACCTGTGGTATATATGATGTCGTTGTTCAGACCCCTTTGGTACATTGTACCAGTCTTTAACCCCTGTCTCAGATATATCATATAGGTTGTATGGCCACTGTGATACATTGTATCGGTGGTCAAGATAAATATTGTATAGGTGCCCAGATCCCTGTGGTACATTGTATTGGTGCTAATGTCCCTGTGGTACGTTGTATTGATGCCCCTGTGGTACATTGTATCGGTTCTGAGGTCCTGGTGGTACAGTATATCGAAGCTCGGACCACTTTGGCACATTGCATTGGTGATGATGCCCCGTGGTACATAGTATTGGTGCTGAGGCCCCTGTGGTACAATTTATTGGTGCTGAGGCCCCTGTGGTACATTGTATTGGTGCTGAGGCCCCTGTGGTACATTGTATTGGTGCTGAGGCCCCGGTGGTACATTGTATCAATGCTCTGACCACTGTGGTACAGTATTGGTGTTGATGCCCTGTGGTACATTGTATTGGTGCTAATGCCCCTGTTATACATTGTATTGGTGCTGATGCCCCTCTGGTACATTGAATTGGTGCTGATGCCCCTGTGGTACATTGTATCGGTGTTAAGGCCCCTGTGGTACATTGTATCGGTGTTGAGGCCCCTGTAGTACATTGTATCGGTGTTGAGGCCCCTGTGGTACATTGTATCGGTGTTGAGGCTCCTGTAGTACATTGTATTGGTGCCCCTGTGGTACATTGTATTGGTGCTAATGTCCCTCTGGTACATTGAATTGGTGCTGATGCCCCTGTGGTACATTCTATCGGTGTTGAGGCCCCTGTGGTACATTGTATCGGTGTTGAGGCCCCTGTAGTACATTGTATTGGTGCCCCTGTGGTGCATTGTATTGGTACCGAGGCCCCTGTGGTACATTGTAATGTTGTCCCTGTGGTACATTGCATTGATGCTGAGGCCCTTGTGGTACATTGTATTGGTGGCCCTGTGGTACATTGCATTGATGCTAGGCCCCTGTGGTACATTGTATTGGTGGTCCTATGGAACATTGTATTGGTGCTGATGCCCCTGTGGTATATATGATGTCGTTGTTCAGACCCCTTTGGTACATTGTATCAGTCTTTGGCCCCTGTTGCAGATATATCACATAGGTTGTATGGCCCCTGTGATATATTGTATCGTTGGTCAGGATACATATTGAATAGGCGCCCAGATCCATGTGGTACATTGTATTGGTGCTGATGCCCATGTTGTACATTGTATTGGTGCTGAGGCCCCTGTGGTACATTGTTTCGATGCTAAGACCAATGTGGCACAGTATTGGTGCTGATGCCCTGTGGTACATTGTATTTGTAGCCAGGCCCTGTGGTACATTGTATTGGTGCTGAGGCCCCTGTGGTACATTGTATTTGTAGCCAGGCCCTGTGGTACATTGTATTGGTGCTGAGGCCCCTGTGGTACATTGTATCGAAGTTTAGACCACTGTGGTACAGTATTGGTGCTGATGCCCCTGTGGTACGTTGTAGTGGTGCCCCGGTGATACATTGTATCCATGGTTAAGATACATATTGTATAGGTGCCCAGATCCATGTGGTGCATATCATATCGTTGCTCAGGCCCCTGAGGTATCTTTTATTTGTGATCAGGGCTCTGTGGTACAGTATGTCGGTACTCAGGACCCTGTGGTACTTTTTATCTGTGCTCAGGCCCCTGTGATATACTTTATTTGTACTCAGGACTCTGTGGTACTTTTTATCTGTGCTCAGGCCCCTGTGATATACTTTATTTGTGCTAAGGACCCTGTGGTGTCTTGTATTTGTGATTAGGCCCCTGTGTTGTATGGTATTTGTGCTTAGGCCCAAGTGGTGTCTTGTATTTGTGCTCATGCCCCTGTGGTGTCTTGTATTTGTGGTCAGGCCCCTGTGGTGTCTTGTATTTGTGGTCAGGCCCCTGTGTTGTCTGGTATTTGTGATTAGGCCCCTGTGGTGTCTGGAATTTGTGCTCAGGCCCATGTGGTGTCTTGTATTTGTGGTCAGGCCCCTGTGATGTCTTGTATTTGTGCTCAGGCCCTTGTGGTGTCTTGTAATTTTTGTCAGGCCCCTGTGGTGTCTTGTATTTGTGGTCAGGCCCCTGTGGTGTCTTGTATTTGTGGTCAGGCCCCTGTGGTGTCTTGTATTTGTGGTCATGCCCCTGTGGTGTCTTGTATTTGTGGTCAGGCCCCTGTGGTGTCTTGTATTTGTGGTCAGGCCCCTGTGGTGTCTTGTATTTGTGGTCAGTACTCTGTGGTATCTTGTATTTGTGGTCATGACTCTGTGGTGTCAGTACTCTGTGGTATCTTGTATTTGTGGTCAGGACTATGTGGTACATTGTATCGGTGTTCATACCTCTATGGTATACTTTATTTGTGGTCAGGCCCTTATGGTATGCCCTCCTAAATACCGGCATGGTAAGGAAACAATTGTATTAGCTGCGCTGAACATAACGAGGCTTGACAGTAAATATCAGTATAAAGTCATGGTAACAAATTCTGTGCTGGCGACTTGATGGTTATACAACGGTTCCACCACGAATATGAATTAGGCATGCACTGCACATCGACAGATTTTTCTAATTTGCTTCGCCATGCTTTATTAATTATTTACTTTAATCGATATTCATATGTGTATGACTGTAGAGTATAGCGTTCGTCGTCATGTCCACGGTTTGAAGACAACACATAGAATAATTTCATAAGGGCAGCAGTAGAAGTCATCGGAAAACCACTGGGGGCTTTCCGTCATATTTAGGAATTTTAAGAATGAAAGCAAACGAACCCGAGGTGTGTGGGTCAACACACACACACACACTCTCTCTCTCTCTCTCTCTCTCTCTCTCTCTCTCTCTCTCTCTCTCTCTCTCTCTCTCTCTCTCTCTCTCTCTCTCTCTCTCTCTCTCTCTCTCTCTCTCTCTCTCTCTCTCTCTCTCTCTCTCTCTCTCTCTCTCTCTCTCTCTCTCTCTCTCTCTCTCTCTCTCTCTCTCACACACACATTTGTAGAAGGCTTCACAACTTCACGTGTATAGAAACGTCAAGCTGCAGACTTTAACAAAACAACACAACACCCCATCCCCAACCCCCACCCCCCGGTCCCGATAAAGAGTTTCGTGGGGAATAAATATGCAGTAAAAACTATACTTTTCCAGAGTTTACTTTAGATCCCTTTAAGTTGTAGGTGTTTGTTGGTCAAATGATAATTATTGTCCTGATATCGACCTAAGATGCTACTGTTATAACCGGATGTGACGTAGCCAGTAGAGACAAATGGAAAATGTCACCATTTCCGTTAAATCATCTTTCTCATTAAATGCTATGGTTTCACATTGAGCCACGTGATGTCTCGTATCGATCTTCAGAGATGAGTATTTCTTTTTATCTTTGCCGCTCGGCATCTGTCGTCAAAGATGTAAAGAAGTAATTTATGTTATAGAATACAACAGCCAGATGAAAATGGCAGGTCATCGCTTCTTCAGTACGTTGACACCAAAATGCTTTTTTCAAAACCGTTTGACGTCTTCCGTTTACTGTAACAAAATTGTTTTTTCCAAGCACAGAATTTCTGTGTTCATTCCTTCCTTATCTAGGTCTCCGCTAATAGCGTCACCAGAAGACAAGATTCAAGAAATAGATTTTATTTCAAGTCGTAAATCTGGAAATATATAATGTCATTTGTGTAGAGCTATTTCTTCAATAAAAATCCTGTGTTTCTTTATCAATATGTAAACGTAACGATTTCACGAGATTTCACGAGATTTCTGTGGATTTATTGTCAAATACGATTTCCTCTCCCAAAAGGTAAATAATGCATACATGTGTTTCATGGATATACCCGGGAGATAGCACGTGCCGTGATCAGTACATCATAATTGTTATGTATTGTGGTTCTGTCTATCATTGGTTTACACGGGTCTCGTGCTATTGGCCGCTTTGCTTTAGTGATTTGTGGCATTAACTATCGAATGAGGTAGCTGAAGTAGAAGAAATCGTTATGTTTTAATACTGCCGAAGGTTTGCACGAACTGTTCGTTGTAATGAATCTTCAAATAAGTTCCGTGGTCAGTTCCCGGTGTTATAACAAGCATTACTGTCAGGTGAACCATATAATCATCAACACTGACCAGTTTACGAGTTTTTTAGGGCCTTTGTCAATCGGTTTGACTGACCGGTAAAATTCATTATTTTCTTTCTGAAATGATTCAATAAATTATATGATTGGTTGTGTTTAATTTATAGAAACCATTGAATATGGCTTAATGGGGAAAACACTTTTAATTATGTAGAATAATTACGGTAGAAAATTGTATACTTTTATGTGTCATCGAAAACCTTGGTTAATGTCAGATATAGTTCGATGTAATATATGTTCTTCAGGTCAATTCTGGTACTTACATCCAAGGAACTTTTTGTTTTGGTGTGTTATGTAGAACAATTCTGGTACTTACATACAAGGAACTTTTTGTTTTGGTGTGTTATGTAGAACAATTCTGGTACTTACATACAAGGAACTTTTTGTTTTGGTGTGTTATGTAGAACAATTCTGGTACTTACATACAAGGAACTTTTTGTTTTGGTGTGTTATGTAGAACAATTCTGGTACTTACATACAAGGAACTTTTTGTTTTGGTGTGTTATGTAGAACAATTCTGGTACTTACATACAAGGAACTTTTTGTTTTGGTGTGTTATGTAGAACAATTCTGGTACTTACATACAAGGAACTTTTTGTTTTGGTGTGTTATGTAGAACAATTCTGGCACTTACATACAAGGAACTTTTTGTTTTAGTGTGTTATGTAGAACAATTCTGGCACTTACATACAAGGAACTTTTTGTTTTGGTGTGTTATGTAGAACAATTCTGGTACTTACATACAAAGAACTTTTTGTTTTGGTGTGTTATGTAGAACAATTCTGGTACTTACATACAAGGAACTTTTTGTTTTGGTGTGTTATGTAGAACAATTCTGGTACTTACATATGTATTTTTTCCATTCGACAAAACGGTAGAGAACTCATTACCTTGGGTTTATGTGGAATAATTAAGGGAGATAACTGTGTATTATGCATCGTAAATATATACATACATTCCGTGTTTCCGGTAGAATTATTGCAGTAAGTAATGACATGTTTGTCGCTATCTAAAATTTGAGCGAAATCGATGTTTGTGTAGGGAATTTCCCTTTATTCGAGCGTGATGGTGGTCGCCATTTGTTTTTTACCAGCGGTGGAAGAGTATATTTCTCTGTTGATCACTCCAAGGGTAGAAATTATAGGGTATTTTAAAACTTCCTCTGAGCGTTAGACCGCGACTTATTATTGCCTTTGGGGTCGAAGACGAAGCCAAGAAATCAGGTCCCAATCTCGGATAGCGGGAATTTCCCTTTAGTCAAATGGTAGAGATTCTGGCTAGAGTCCAAAGGGTCGCTGGTTCGAACACAATGGAAGCAGAATGCTTTTACCTATCAAACTATTACAACACTTTAATTTGTGATGCTAAATAACGATCATCCAAAATATACTGCTTCTTGTATGTTTAACAAACAATAAAGTACAATATATTTTTGTGTGTAATTTTGAGTGAATAGTAAAAAAGAGCTATCAACTGTGATGTGCCGTATTTGTTTTTGTGCGTCACAAACAGAATAATTACGGTAGATAAAGATTTATTACAAACACCGTGTAATAAAATTCATTAAAATACTTTTATCAACTTCTTTACAAGTTTAGCATTTAAAGTGTCGGCGCGTTCAGTAGAATATTTATGGTACATAATTATTCGTCTTATACCGTTTAGCATAATTATGGTAAATAACGATGATGAGCTGTATTTGTTATTATTGGTGATTCAGTCAACGAATACCGTTTCTACTGTTTGTCTGGCCACTAGAGCGTATAGTTTTCTGTGAACTAGTGAGCCAGATTAATAATGCATGGCCATTCTAATTTAAAGCGTTCTACAGAAGCGCGCGGTCGCATGGTGACTACTAAGGCTACTGACGCGGTGGAAGGCTTTAGCAGGACTTCTCACTGGTAAGTCTCTTCTCTTACCCGACACTGGGCTTATTACCGGTCGTACAACACAGGTCGGCGAGATATGTTTCTACATTACAGCTTCAAGTGTTGAAATGTCAGAGAGTTGTTCTGTTTCAATTTAAGACACAGCTTATGTGATTGTAAACCCTTATTACTTTAACACCATCCTGAACAAGAGTTTTTCGCTAGTGTTAAAAGTAAATCGTCAAATTGAATTGCTTTCGTCAACACAATTTACAGGCTGTGATATCGACACACGCCTTTTTGCAATGATATACTAAATTCAAATGAAGCAAAAAAGTGTGTGTTATATGGCGTCATAGCAGGCAGTTTTCACGATAAATCAGATTTCATCTAGTTTTTTCTAATTCTATACTGCTATAGTATGGGTGTTGTTCTGGTAAAGACAGAGAGAGAGGTGTGTGTCACCATTGTACTCCTATCATTATTTGTATATGACAGGAGAGAGAGAGGGTGTGTCACCATTACATGATGTACCATTACATGATGTATATATGTGTGTCACCATTACATGATATATATGAGAGAGAGAGGTGTGTGTCACCATTATGATATAATAATATGTTGTATATGATAGGAGAGAGAGAGGGTGTGTCACCATTACATGATGTATATGATAGGAGAGAAACATATCACCATTACATGAAGGATATAATAGGAGAGAGAGGTGAGTGTCACCATTACATGATGTATATCATAGGAGAGAGAGAGAGGGGTGTGTCACCATTACATGATGTATATGACAGGAGAGAGAGGTGTGTGTCACCATTACATGATGTATATGACGGGAGAGAGAGGTGTGTGTCACCATTACATGATGTATATCACGGGAGAGAGAGGTGTGTGTCACCATTACATGATGTATATCACGGGAGAGAGAGGTGTGTGTCACCATTACATGATGTATATCACGGGAGAGAGAGGTGTGTGTCACCATTACATGATGTATATGACAGGAGAGATATAAATCACCATTACATGATGTATATGACAGGAGAGAGAGGTGGATGTCACCATTACATGATCTATATGATAGGAAAGAGAGAGGAATGTGTCGTCATTACATGATGTATATGACAGGAGAGAGAGAGAGGTGTGTGTCACCATTACATGATGTATATGACGTGAGGGAGAGGTGTGTGTCACCATTACATGATGTATATGACAGGAGAGAGAGAGAGGGGTGTGTCACCATTACATGATGTATATAACAGGAGAGAGAGGGGTGTGTCACCATTACATGATGTATATGATAGGAGAGAGAGAGGGTGTGTCACCATTACATGATGTATATGATAGGAGAGAGAGGGATGTGTCACCATTACATGATGTATATGACGGGAGAGAGAGGTGTGTGTCA